TCTGGGTACATGGACAGCTGATAAACATGTCATCTATGGGCAGTATATTTTAGACCTAAAAAGTAGTATAGACTTACCATTTGATTCTAACACCTCTGATGTTAAGCGGATTGTAAATGGAAATTTCTTTGGTATAACTGGTTTAAGAGCTTTCTCAGCTAATGCACCTAACATGTAAATAAAAAGACACAGTATTATAGACCAAAAATGTTCAAACCTATGGTGGGAATTCATTTTATTCTCACTATTGTTGGTGGCAACAGTTCATGCTAATTAATAATTAATAAATTAATAATTGAGATAATAATCTACTGTTATTTCAATAGTAAGCAAAACTAAAAGCAATTGATATGCTGTATAATGTAATTTTATTGCAATCAGTCAATGTATGTCAGAACAAACAGACTGAACAAGCATTGATAATGCATAGACCCCGTTAAGTATTAGCTGTAGTCGATGTAAATGTTCAGTACAAGTGACATGTAGAAATGAAATATCAATGTTTTTTTAACACTAACACAGATTATAGATTGTGTTACTGTCAGTATAGTACCTACTTGAAAACTTTGAACTGAATTGGACTATATATTACAGAGGAAATAGCATGAAAGACAAACGCAGCCTGTAGGGTATTGTTGTTGATATCTCCAAAAGAAATATGGCTTGCATCGTAACCTAATATGTAAGGTCATCATACAAAGTTTAATTCAAAAATGCCCTTTTCAACTTTGAACTGAATCAGGCCATATCGCCCTGTTCAGCTCCAAGAAACAGAACCGGACATGTTACAGAATGATATCTTACTTTTTTTTGACAACATGGCCACCATTTCGACAAATTTGATCAAATCTCAAGACAAAACATGTTGTTTTGTTACCTTGCAGTATAGTACCTATGTACAAACTTTGAACTGAATCAGGCCATATCTTATGGAAGACACAGGACAGAAAAAACAAAATGGTCACCTGTCGGCCATCTTGGGCTGAATCTCCAAAAAAAAGTGACGTGCACCTATAACCCAGTATGCATGATCACCAAGTTTGATTGAAATCACATTATTCAGCTCCGAGAAACAGTTCTGGACACGCTTAAATATAAAAATTTAGCAAATTTGAAAGGCAAAATGGCTGCTAGTCAGCCATATTTAATCCAATCATAAAGAAAATTGGCGTGCATATGTAGGTCATCACACATTGTCTGTATGCCAAGGTTTGAACGAGATCGGTCAAATGATGTATGAGAAATGGCTCCAGACGGAAACACAGATGGACAGAACCCAAATTAATAGACTAACCAATGGCGTAGAGTTTTAAAACTCACCATGTCCTAGTTCTCTTCTAGATGCAAACATTCTACCTACTTCATTAGTAGCAAAGGGAGGAAACTGAAATCAAATCAAAGAAATCTTAGAATAAACCTGTGATTGCATGTGTTGGAAGGTATTGGAGGCAAGGCACAAAATAGACTTGCATTATTTTTTTTAACTAAGTTAGCCTGCTCTATGAGGTTTACAGTAACCATGTAAACCTGTTCTATGTTGTTTACAGTAACCATTTTAACCTGTTCTATGTTGTTTACAGTAACCATGTTAACTTGCTATATGTTCACAGTAACCATGGCAACCAGCTTTATTTTTACAGTAACCATGATAACTTGCTCTATGTTGTTTACAGTAACCATGTTAACCTGCTCTATGTTCACAGTAACCATGTTAACCTGCTCTTTGTTGTTTACAGTAACCATGTTAACCTGTTCTATGCTTACAGTAATCATGTTAACTACTTCTATGTTTACAGTAACCGTATTAGCCTCTTCTATGTTGTTTATAAAAGACACATACCTCATAGTGAAGTAGAAAATTCTTTTCTTTAATTCCACTGTAATGAAATGTAACAAAATTTCAAATATAGTAAAAATGAATTCAAAAATATGTGTCAGTTTATGTGCAAAGACTAGGTATGTTAACATAACATATGTTAACTTATAAGAATGAGTTAAAATTATAGGTTTTAATTAACATGTATTTACCTGATAATTTCCGATAGTGCATCTCCTTTCAATGCTGAGTCAATAGAGTCAAAAGTCACTGTACAAAGAACCTGTCATAATAATTAAATGTTGAACAAAGTATGTAACAAAAATATCAACACTATGAATTATGACATATTTCCCACCTATAGTTGAATTATTTTGACTTGAAAACAGAAATGGGAGAATAATGTCATGAAATTGTCATTGTAAAAAAAAGTCATTAGCCTTTTAAACAAGAATTCTGAAGTACATCACTTTCACAAAACTTCATTAAAAAATTAAATATTATTGTATAATCTCTTTTGTTTGCTTGTCTGTGATTTATTCCAGATCACCTATGTATCAAGTTTGTGGATTAGTCATGCTACTTATGTGATGCCTTCAAGATAGCACTTGCTGCATATTCCCATTAGCAACAGTGCTTTAGATATTACAGTTATGCATATTAATGAGATCACATGACCACACAAGATGATCTGATATATTAGTCATACTGTAAATGCACTAATTATTAGAAATAGAGAAATTAAATGACAGTGAAAATAAATGTTTGTCTAACACCTCAATTATAGCACTGATTGCATATAATGTGCAGTAGTGCTTGGAATATTAAAATTCTGCATATTAATGAGGTCAACATTTGCATAAAAGAGTAGCTGGTGACAGCAATAGTCACTACAGCACACCACATGTTTGACATAACCTACACAGATTGGCAATTGTTGGGTAGCAGCCATTATATGTGCTTCACACACAGTCAACAATTTTCAAGTGTACCGGTAATAAAATCAAAACAAAGACTCACTCATGTGAAATATCAAAGCAATGCAGCTAGTAGTTTTCAAGGGCATTTGTCTATTTACCTGAGTTTGTCCTCTTTGAAACAAAGCTGATCCATGCAATGGTTTATACATATCAACCTCACATGAGATATCTCTCAATGCTGTGAGACTCCGACCATCACACCTGAATAAAGAGCAAAGTTACATTGAATGTCAGTTGTACATATCAAATTAACATATTTTGTATAATAAGAATTTACTAACTATTATACGATCCTGCAAACCACTTTGATTTGGCTACAATTCACACTTTTGTAATTTCCAAGTTGAGCTGACCAGACAGTCAATGAATAACCCAGTACTTATTATTTTATTCAGTGCATATCAGAAACAACATGTCTTATTCTATTGACAAGCAACCTGACGGTCAAAATAGCTTTGCTGTCCTACAAGAACATTGTGGTAGCCAAGTGGAGCAACAAATACCGTTAAGACAAAATGCAGTGAACCCACAAAAAAGTGGTTCTTTCTGTTGAGAACTTGTCAACTTAACTTCATCAAACTAATTATTCACAAAAATAATGAACACCACAAATATTAATTTAAAAGCAATCAGATTGGTGGTGTTCAAGAAGAATTCAAAAAATATCATTTTTTACAAAAAATTACAAAAATATTTGCCAAATACAGATATTGGCATTAAATGAACAAATCCAACCACCCAAGGTACCTACATGTACATACCAAGAATCAAAGCTGTTAGTTTTCAAGAAAAAGTCGAAATGGCAATTGTTGATGGATGACAAAAGATGGACAATCACCGATATGCACAGCTCCGCTCTGTCATCTATGATGACAGCAGAGCTAAAAACCAAAAGTCACTCTCAAATTTTCTCTTAAAAAATCATTTGCTTAAAACAGCCTAATTTTATTTTTTTCTCTGTTACTTAAGTTACCAATTTCAAATGTTCAAAACCGATGATGAAAATATTTATATATCCACTACTTTTACATTATTTTTCTGTCTCTATTTGTTTTTTATAATACCAAATTTGTCGCTATGTCTTTTCATCGGGGCCAGGATGTATCAGGATGAGCATTAATGACATCACTCAGAGGCCCAGTGTATAAAATGAAATCTAATGACCCTTTGACAAATCCTTGATCCCAAAGAAGCGAGAATGAGTCAGAAAGCATATTTTCACTGATGACAACTTGTTTGCAGTTTTGCAGATAGGATTGTGCAGTATTTGGAACAGGATGCCAATAGTGTTGAATGCTGCACTATAGTCTAACAAATGTAAAACGGGTGCACAATTGCTGAAGCAATACAATGTTTAGTTAGTTCTTCTTTAGTCTGAGGCACCGGGATAGCATCATCGCAAATAGATTTCATTCTGTCATGGACAAATTTTCCCAAATTATTGGCAAGTAACTGTTGATGAGGAATTGGTATGATTAGGTAGAGTAGGTGATCTATTGATATTGGTGGAACTTTCAAATCAATTGATATTGGTGGAACTTTCAAATCTATTGATATTGGTGGAACTTTCAAATCTATTGATATTGGTGGAACTTTCAAATCAATTGATATTGGTGGAACTTTCAAATCAATTGTATTGGTGGAACTTTCAAATCAATTGCTATTGGTGGAACTTTCAAATCAATTGACATTGGTGGAACTTTCAAATCAATTGATATTGGTGGAACTTTCAAATCAATTGATATTGGTGGAACTTTCTAATCAATTGATATTGGTGGAACTTTCAAATCAATTGATATTGGTGGAACTTTCAAATCAATTGATATTGGTGGAACTTTCAAATCAATTGATATTGGTGGAACTTTCAAAGCAATTGACATTGGTGGAACTTTCAAAGCAATTGATATTGGTGGAACTTTCAAATCAATTGATATTGGTGGAACTTTCAAAGCAATTGATATTGGTGGAACTTTCTAATCAATTGATATTGTTGGAACTTTCAAATCAATTGATATTGGTGGAACTTTCAAATCAATTGATATTGGTGGAACTTTCAAATCAATTGACATTGGTGGAACTTTCAAATCAATTGACATTGGTGGAACTTTCAAATCAATTGATATTGGTGGAACTTTCAAATAATTCAGAATAGTTTCTGGGAATCATATGTTCTTGTTTCAGACTTTGTAAGACATAACAGTTTGATATGATAATGTAAACACAAAAGTGTGTTAAAACAGTTAAAATACATACCTTCTGTCCTCATCCAAGATTATATTACGAAACACATCCTTGACAAGAAAATTAAATGCTTCATTGAATAGAAAAACCTCATTTTCGGGAAACATTGCTGAAAAATCATGAAAGAAAAAATAACACAGTAAGTTTAAATGAAGAATCTGTACCTAAAAAAGTTAAAGGTCAGGCTGGTTTATATCATTATTCATGAATTAGTGGTGTTGGATGCCATGGTAACATGGCCACAAATCGAGTCAACTACCAAACAGACACCCTACCTGACCAAGCGAAAGAATTATTAGCATTCATGCTGTTCTGAAATTCTGAACATCATACCATATTTTGGTTGACGTTACCATATTCACATTATGCCTTCACTTTCTTTGGCTGAAAGGTTTTAAAGTATGTAGTAAAATGTAGGGGCTAAAAAACACACTAAGATTTAGATTAGTGTGAGAATAATGGTTTACAAGTCATTACGATTCATGGATCAAAAACTGCATTCTTTGAAACAAAATGGGCACTAGTGTGCAATATTTAACCCAAATCAAAAAATAAAACAACACGTACCAAGTTTGGTTTGTTTGCCATTCAGACATCCTGAATTGAAAAAAAAGGCATGTGCATATGTCTGATATAATGTATGACGTCTGTGTAAAGTTTTAACCTGATTAACCTAAAGATGTGCGAGATATGGCTGGATACAGATCAATGCACTCATGGACACACAGTTGTCTATCCGTAAGTCTGTTTTCAGAATTTGTTTGAACAGGGAATAAAAACCATGTGAGAATTACAGTAGCATCTAACCCAAATGCAAATCAAATGATTATGTCAGTAAATTTAGTGCACTATGAGTGGAAACAATGATTCAGAAGTATTGTTTTGAGCAACAAACGAGTGGTGCCATCCATTCTTTAAAAGTGAATGTTAGACCTATTGTTGACAACAGAAAGTATTTTTTTGTACTGTATAAAGAATATTCAGCTAACATAAAATTAACATATTGCATATAGTTTACATTGTGTCAGAACTAAGTGCACTTACCTGTTAACCTGTCTATACATTCAGTTCTGATATTAGAAATAGCATTATCTCTGGAAAACTGAAATATACAAGCAATGGTATCGCATATTAGTCCTTAGGGGTTACCATTTCTAAGCTGAGATTCCCAGTCTGTATATTTTGAAGGAAAAAGAACCTTAGAAACAACTTCTGTGTGCTAATTTGAGTAGAAATAACAAATAGTATAATAGTAATATATCTAAACAAAATTTTGGTGAGAAAAATATTCACGCCATGATATGGATAGGAAAATATAATTGGCGAACTTTGTCGCCAAAAAAAAAACAGAGATGGAGAAAACAAAACAGAGATGGAGAAAACAAAACAGAGGTGGAGAAAAATCTCCCCCCTCATAAACCTTTCTTTTGTTTAATAATAAAAATAAAATACATTATTATTAGTATATGTTTTCTTTTTTCTTTACTTAATTTTAACTTTCAAGCTAGGCTAATCATTATCTAATTGCATCTAATTACCCTTGTGTTGATTTCATGTTTCCATTCAGAGACTTATGCTACATTATTACAAAACAACTCCTGTTCAATCAAATGAGGTACATTTATATCAATATCTCTTAAGATATAGGAGCTAGTTATACCAAACTAAACCTGCAGTGAGGTTATACATTGGTTGATATTATCATAAAGTTTAGAAAAGATTGAACTAATATTACAAGAGTTATTTTGGTGGCAAGAAACGTATGACAGACAGACATTGTATACCTCCCCACTTCATTATCATCACAAGGTAAACATGGCCACCAGTCAAACAAAAACAAAACAAAAAGGTAATTAACATACATACTTGTAAGTATATATATCATTTCTACAAATTTGGTAAACTAAATTGGTAAAATGATACATGAAAATAAAACAAAGAGCAATATATCTTAATTATTTTAAACTACATGGGTATAATGTAGACATAGTTTTATATAACATACACCATACCTTGTGATGTGAATAATCTGAAAACACTTCATATATCTTGTCTTTTGCTATACTACAAACAAATAATAATTTGTAAAATTTATTGCCACTAATATGAAATGAAACAGATCATGAAACAAATGAGTTTGCATATACCATATATCTAAATATGTATGATGTATGTGTGAAGTTTGAGTGTGGTTGACCTGGGCATGTCTGAGATAGAGATGTGCACGCACAGTGGTCAATCTTTTTAAACTGCATCTGAATGGGGATTAAAAATATCAGCCATGTCAAATATGTATTTTGTCATTGACTTACTTCGTGGCAGCCTTTAAAATATCTTCTGGTATTGTCAGCATATTTTCTACAACCCTCTTTTTCTTGCCATGTGTTTTACATAAACTTTCAATACCATTTATGATTTGATTAGTTTCTTTAATTCCTAATTTTATTGCTTTACAAAATTCAGGTTGTAAAATATTCTCAGCAGATCCTTCAAGCATAACTGCAATATAAAATTTGGGAATAGTACAAATTAAATATTGTGAAATAGTACCAGTACACGTTAAGCTTTGCCTTTGTCATAGATCATTGTTTTTCCTGCTGAGTAAATACTTTGATGTGCTCCAATTAGTCTGACAAATAAAAACATCTACATCATGCTATAGTTTTCATTTAATCAAACCTCCAGCTAACTTTGGTATTTTCATCAAAGACTTGAAATCAAACAATTTATGGTTTATTTTCAACCACACAGATTCATATTTATGATTTTTTGGACTAGAAGGATGATTCTGAAGGGTGCACTAATTCGAAGGGTGGTCCCATCTAAAATGTGGTTTCATCTGAAGGGTGGTCCCATCTGAAGGGTGGTCCCATCTAAAGGGTGGTCCCATCTAAAGGGTGGTCCCATCTGAAATGTGGTTTCATCTGAAGTTGCTGCATGTTTGCACAAATCAGTTATCAGTAGTAAATCACACATACATACCAATACTGCTTTTCTTGGAACCAGTAACAATTAAATTAAGTTTGCTTTTGATAAGTTCTAATCTAGTTGGGTTCACTATAAATTTGCCATCAATTAATCCCATTCTAACAGCACCAACTGGACCATTCCATGGTATATCGGATAAGGATAAAGCTGCTGAGGCTGCAACATATCAAAGAAAGTTCAGAAAAAAATTTACGTGATGAATGGAGGTACTGGCAGAAGGTTTTGCTGAAATTTAACATAGGTATTTTGGGATAATCTGCAGACTCAATGTACCATTGAACATTAATGGTTTGTATATCACAATAATTTATATCTCAATAACGACTCAACAGATGACAATGATCAAATCATGATACATAGGTAAGCTGCAAATATCAACATACCTGATTAGTTTTTAGCCGATACTAATAAATATTAATGACCTAATTTGCATAACAATTTACTAATCTGAAGGACTTCCAGGGTACTGATATCTCAAAAACCACTAAGCAGATTAAATATTTTGTACCAGAGGTACATTACTTGGGGTTTGCAACTCGCATAGTACTGTATGGTGACATCATGTCAAGATCCCATTCATGTCTCTTCTCGTAGATAGCGAGACTGAGGCTACGACCTTCTGACATGACATATATCAATGTTCAAGGTTTGTAATGAAAAAATAAAACTTTTCTTGTCACTATCATAGTGAAAAATGTAATACATCGAAAATGTACAGAAAATATAGTTCTCGTAATCCGTCATATCGTGGGCAGCTATTTTGATCCACCTGGACATCCCAGTATCCTAGTTACCTCGGGCATGCGCGTTCGCATTTTTCTGAGTTGGAACGCTTATGCAAGAGCGAAATTGTAACGGGATCTTGGTATCATGTCACCGTAGTTGCAAACCCCAAGTAATGTACCTCTGTTTGTACGCATATATTAACAAGATTTTAGTATGTATATTGGGCACTTTTTGAACAAATTCCAAATAATTCATTATAGGTTTTTCTTGTTAACAAACATAATTAATTTGCATAATTTATAGTTTGTTACACTCAAAAGTCAACAACTGTGTTTGGTTGTGTAGTTGTTGATCACATAGAATACAACCTTGGATTCAATAATGAACAACTAAAGATCAAAATGATATCAAAGATTTCTACATGCCTCCCATTTATGTCACCAGACTACCTTGCCACTAGACAACATGATTTATAGGAAAGGTTCTTTACCTGCATTAATACTAAGTATATCAGGATCATTAATACCATCTACTGCTAAACAGTTACAAATTATCTGAAAATAAACAATAACACTTACATACATTATCTAATAATTAAGTCACATCGATTCATAGTGCATGTCCACCATCTAGCATCATGCTTAATTTGCATAAATTAGCATATCATTTATACGTAAAACTCTTTAATAGCGGTGATGCAAAGTATTGTATTTATAACATTGGTCCACGACATCATTTTACAAGTTATATTATGTGACATCCCCATAATCATGACAGTTCTATATGACATATATGCTTGAGTTATTAAACAAACAAACGAAAATTTTTGCCACAACGATGTGTGAGATATATTCAAGATAGACAGTGTTGTTCTACCTTGAGACCATTAAATTACCTAACCCATATCCAGAGATGATGTACCAAAGAGAACCCATATCCAGAGATGATGGATCAAATAGAACCCATATCCAGAGATGATGGACCAAACAGAACCCATATCCAGAGATGATGTACCAAATAGAACCCATATCCAGATATGATGGATCAAATAGAACTCATATCCAGGGATGATGTGCCAAATTTAGGCGAGGGTTCTTCGAACCCGCCTATTCACATAGTTCATACCCACCATAGACTCCGGTCAGTCAAAATGACTATTTTGAACTGTAGGCATTAATCAGCGATTCTGCCGGTGACGGAGTGATAGAATCTAGGTCAGGGGAAGCCCCATGACCTCAAGATTCTTTTACCCCTTACGTCACGAACCCACGTGACCGAGGCCACATGGCAACGCCATAGGCAGCCGTCCATCACTCTGGTTCCTTTCTCTCGCCTCGAGGACTTAGACCAACGCGACGGAAAGAGTGGGGAGGTTGGGGGG